TTCATGAAAACTATGGATTACTCTGAAATAAGTATGTGTGCCATAATATTTGATTATCCTGATGCATAATATGAACTCAGGGCAAGAGGCTACCATAAGGGCAGAATAGAGAAAAATGGCATGGTTTCCATTTGGCATGTTGTCAGGCAAGGCTGCGTATTATCATACAATCTGTTTAACTTGTATGCTAAATGTATCATACATAAATCAAGATCAGACTCAGAGGAAAGGGATGTAAAAGTTAGAGGAAAGAACATCAACAATTTAAGGTATGTGGATGACACTCTATTACTAGCAAAAAATAGCAAAGACTTGGAACAATCACTAAAGAAAGTCCAGGAACAAAGTGCAAAGACAGGTTTGCAGTTGAATATTAAGAAAAAATAATGACCACAGATAATTTAGGTAACTTTAAAGTAGATTATGAAAACACTGAAATAGTTTTTAAAATATCCATACCCTGGCTCAGTTATTAATCAGAATGCAGACTGCAGTAAAAAGAAAAAGACTAGCACTCAAAAGGGCTGCTATGTAGGACCTAGACAATATCCTGAGGTGTAAAGATGTATCATTCAATACCAAAGTCAGGATATTCTCTGCCATCTTATTTTCTTTTTATATGTATGGTTGTGAAAACTGGACAATGAAGATAGGAAGGGAATCAATTAACTTGAGATGTGGTGCTGAAGGAGAGACTGCTAAAAAGACAAATAAATGGGTCCTAGAGCAAATCAAGTCTGAACCCTCCCTAAAAGCCAAGATGACTAATCAGAGACTTTCATACTTTGGCCATATCATGAGAAGACATGACTCACTCGAAAAGACAATGGTTCTTGGTAAAGTAGTGGGAAAAGAGGGAGACCATATTGCAGATGGCTCAATTCAGCCAAGGAAGCCACAGTCTTGAGTCTGCAAAACCTGAGCAGGGTTTCTCTGGATGATAGAGTAACTTGGAGGTTTCTTGTTTGTAGGGTTGCCATAGACTGAAGTCGACTTGACAGCAGCTAACAACAACAAATGCGTAGATAGTCTCACCTGCCAGTCTTCTTGAGTTGCTCCTTCCATCATTAGTAAAGTCCCATGATCCAATGGTATATGCACTCTTTGCACATAAGTGTAGTCATTGTTCTCCTCCTGAAAAGAAAAACATTAACTATTCATATATACTTCACCTTTATTAGTTTTTGTGGGTTTTTCAGGCTGTGAGGCCATGTTCTAGAAGAATGTATTCCTGACATTTTGCCCGCATCAGGCACAACATCAGGAATACATTCTTTTAGAACACTGCCTCACAGCCCGAAAAACCCACAAAAACCTATGGATGCCAACCGTAAAAGCTTTCAACTTCATATTCACATTTTTGTATAAAAGATGTTTCTAGACTAACCATTCTGTGGCACAGAATACTGTTCAACATGTGTCTTGAGTTTCCTCTAAAATACAGATGTACCAGTTGTATCCTCTACAAAATCCTGCAAGATAGGTTATGCCAATTGGTATGAGGTGCCCTAGTGTTTCAGAACTGGTTACTGTCTCATAGATTTGCTAGGATATAGAATATAGCAGCTATGATAAAGTTAAATTTGTACCAAGGTCCAGGGAAAACTGGATGTTTGAAGACAGGTTTACTGAAAAATGGGACATCTTTTTTTTTAATGACAAAGCTGGTTTTATTATTTATTACTAGGAGAAGCACCCAGCTTTGCTTGAGTGAATTACTGGAGTGTCCCACTGGTGAGCTGCCTAAAGTGAATTTCATATATACCACCTTGTTTATATTCTAATACACCCCATCCCCAAAATGGCCCTCTAAGCAAGTAAATATTGGGATGTCTCGGCTAAAATGGAAGAGTGTCACAGGGTCCCTTGGAATCTCCACTAATGGATTCTGTGCTGAATGTGACACTGACTATGAATTGGCTAAAACTGCTTCCCCAGCATGGGAAGCTCTAAGGATTGTACTGATACCTTCCTTAGCATGCAAGACAAGATCAGCTATTGTCACCTTGCTGTGGAGAGAACATAGAAGACCAGGAAGTACCACCACCACGCAGCTGCATTTTAGCCACTGAAAGGGCTGTGTGTGTTTGTGTGTGGGGTATATATACATATATAACCAACCATCGCTAAATTCATTGAAACTGAATGCCACCATCACAGTATCTGAAATTGTATAGGCTATTAAGAAAATTAAATTGAAGAAGGCCCCAGGACCAGATGGTCTGCCAGCTCTTCATTATAAGTGCTTTGAAGACAAGGTATTTTTGCCATTACAACAGACAGTGAACTCTATATTGATTTCTGGAAAAATCCCAGAATCTTGGAAGAGCATAAATGTATCTTTGATACCAAAGAAAGATGGAGATTTGATGGATCATAAAACTACAGACCCATTACTTTATTAAACAATGATTACAATTTTTTAAGATCTATCTTGGCAGGGAGAATGCAGATGAAACTACAAAAAATAATAAGTGAAGATCAAAGTGTGCGTGTTTTTTACCTACAAGATAACTGAGAGACAATACAGTGTGTATTAGATATTGTGGAATATCTAGATAAGCATAATGAGAAACAAGCAACTTTGATATTTTTGGATGCAGAGAAAATGTCTGACAATGTAAATTGGATGTTTATGATAAAGATTTTTTTTTTTGAAAAAAAATGGATCTTGGCAATAACTCTAGCAATTGGATAAAAGCAATATATGAGTCTCAAAGATATGAGTCTCACTGACAAATGAAAATTGTGAGACTAGAAAAAGTTGTCCATTGCCCCCTTTTCTTTTTATACTTATTTTGAAAGGGTTGAATAAAGCTATCAGAGAAGATGAAGCTATCCAGGGAATAAATAAACTGGCTGGCTTAAAAATAAATAAAGACAAAACAGTAATGATGTTAAATATATGAGAAAAGAACATCAGATGTTATTAACAGAAAGAACAAGGTTTAAAGTTTTTTTAAAAGTTTAAATATTTGAAAGTAAATATCTCTAATATTAACTCCAAATTATTTGAAAATAATTATGGTAAAGTTGGGATGAAGTCAAACAGAATTTGATGAAATGGAGTAAACTGAGACTGTTAGTTCTGAGTAGGCACTATCAGTTATGCATGTATTGCCTAAAATATTATTTTTATTTAAACAATACCCATATTGCAGCCACAAGCTCTCTATGTAGCTGCACCCCCAATCCCTAGAGCTTGGTGAACAGAGCTTAGCTAACTGGCAAGACCAACAGGGATGTTTTGTGTGGGTGTGGTGGAAGAGACAGCATAAGGTGAGCTTGGGTTGGTTAGGTTAAATCTCCCTAGCCCTGGAAAGTCTTTTGGGAGAACTTGTTGGGTCAAGAGTGAGGGTCAGTTGGGATAAGGCTGTTCTGCATGTTTGAGCTTAGCAGAGGCTTGCTTGTGTATGCATTAGTAGTTTGGTGACCTTCTGTGTGGTCAAGGCTGACTGTTTGTGTGAGCTGAGTGAAGTGTGAGTGTCTGCCCATTAGCAGGCCATTGTTCTATTGTGTGTAGCCCCAGGTCCCCTTCCTGAGTACCTGTTCTCAGAGAGGTGGGGCTTCTGCTGAGAGGAAGTGAGTCAAGAGACTTAGTGGAGGGAGGAGCTAGTAGCCACTACCTCTCTACATAGCTGCAGCCCCATTCCCTAGAGCTCAATGAACAAAGGTCAGCTAACAGGCAAGACCAACAGGGGTGTTCAGTGGGGGAGTTTTGAGGGGGAGGTTCTGAGTTATTTTGCAGTGACAATTTAAGACCACTGAATGTGGACAGTGAGGGAGCTGCTGCAGTCACTTGCAACAGCTGTGATATGTTTGTGTTCTTGGCAAAGGATGTGGGTAGGTTCACCTGCACCAAGTGCAAGTTGGTTCCACTGTTGGAAGAGAAGGTCCAGCAACTTGGGCCCATTTATCCACTCTGTAGCATATTAGGGAGCATGAGGATTTCTTAGACAGAGTGGAGCAGACTGCTCTGACTGAGAAACACACAAGGGATGTCTCTAGGGAGAACGTCAGTTGCCATACACAGAAGACAAACAGTTGGATGATGCGGCATGTAGAAGGACCAGGGATCATTTGTGAGTTTGGAGCTGCAGAAATGATTAAAAGCTCTCTCCTTATCAGTAATGACGAGGGGAAACAAAAAGAGCAACAGTGTCAGCCCTCAGAGAATGTACATGAGACCTTGGAAGGTTCAGCACATAGAATGGCCTCTGTCAAACCACAGAAAAGACTCCCTACTGAGGCATAGGTGGTAGGAGACTCCCTGCTGAGGCATACAGAATCAGCACCATATTTTCTGGCGTATAAGATGACTTTTTAACCCTGGAAAAGGGTCTCAAAAGTCAGGGGTCGTCTTATATGGCAGGTAGAGAAGGAGGATGAGGGGAGAAAGAGAAGGAAGCCAGGGAGATGATGATGATGAGGGGAGAAAGAGGAGGAAGCCAGGGAGAGGAGGAGGACGAGGGGAGAAGGAAGCCAGTTCTACAGTATGGATGCAGCCTGAATCTGCACTGCAGAAATAATGCAGTTTGACACCAATTTAACTACCATGGCTCCATCTATGGACTCCTAGGATCTGCAGTTTGCTTTGTGGTACCAGAGCTCTCTGACAGAAAAGGCTAAATATCTCATAAAACTGCAAATCCCAGAATTCCATAGCCTTGAGCCAGGGCAGTTAAAGAGGTGTCAAACTGCTCTAATAAATTTCTGCAATGTAGACGCAGCCAAAGTTGATGTGTTGCTGGCCATGGCTTCTTTAACAAATAATTCTTCACAATGAGAGAGTGAGAGTGTGTACCCTTGAAGATTTATCTAAAGAAGAACCAAGTTCCTTAACTTTAAGGTTATATGTGTATGTTGTGTGCCTTCAAATTGTTCCTGACTTATGGTGATCGTGGGGTTTTCTTGGCAAGATTCACTCAGAGGAGGTTTGCCATTGCCTTCCCCTGAGGCTGAGAGCATGTGACTTGTCCAAGCTCATCCAGTGGGTTTCATGGCAGAGTGGAGAATCAAACCCAGGTCTCTAGAGTGGTAGTCAAACACTCAAACCACTACACCACACTGACTCCTATTCCCATGTACTACTATGAAACAATTGCAGACTTTTTGTTGTTCTTAGGTGTCTTCAAGTCCTTTCCAACTTATGGTGACCCTAAGGAAACCTTATCATGGGTTTTCATGGCATGTTTCTTCAAATGGGGGTTGCCATTACCATCTTCTGAAGCTGAGAGTGTGTGACATGCCCAGGGTCACTTACTTGGCCATAAATTGTACATACCCCAGAATGTATCACCTAGTATACTGGCAGTTCTCCCCCCCCCCCCAACACTTTCTCATTTCCCCCAAACCATCTCATAGCTGGGAGATGGAAATAATTGTTAAAGCAACATTTAAATCTGGACTATTTTTAAAAAAAGTAAGGTCTCAAACACATTGCAGAAATAA